GGGATGTGAATGGGCTACCGCTTGGTATCCCGTGCCCTGATTGGGTGAGAATTCCCTGTATGTCTCCAGTTTTCTCCGATGTTAAAGAACACTGCGGCGGCCGGACACGGTGGCTCACACCTGTAATCCCAGCACCTTGGGAGGCCAAAGCAGGCGTTTCACCTGAGGTCGGGAGTTCGAGACCAGCCTGGCTAACATGCCAAAACCCCATCTCTACCAAAACTACAAAAATTAGCTGGGCATGGTGGCGGGCACCTGTAATCCCAGCTACTCAGGAGGCTGAGACAGGAGAATGGCTTGAACCCGGGAGGTGGAGGTTGCAGTGAGCCGAGATCACGCCACTGCACTCCAGCCTGGGTCACAGAGCAAGACTCTGTCTCAAACAAAACAAAACAAACAAAAAACAGAAACCAAAACCGAAACAAACAAAAACAAAACAATACAAACAAAATAAAACAGACAAAACAAAAAACATAACAAAAACAAAGCAAAAAACAAAAACACTGCAGCAAGCATCCTTATAATGTCTTTTTTTTGTTTTTTTTTTTTTTGAGACAGAGTCTCACTCTGTCGCGAGGCTGGAGTGCAGTGGCACAATCTCGGCTCGCTGCCACCTCTATCTCCCGGGTTCAAGCCATTCTCCTGCCTCAGCCTCCCGAGTAGCTGGGACTACAGGTGTGCACCACCACGCCTGGCTAATTTTTATTTTACTTTTAATAGACACGAAGTTTCACCATGTTGGCCAGGATGGTCTCGATCTCCTGACCTCGTGATCTGCCCACCTTGGTCGCCCAAAGTGTTGGGATGCGTGCCCTCATGATGTCTTTAGTGTGTCCCCCGCATCCGTCCACCAGCTTTTTGTGCACACTCTTTCTCACGATGGACCCATTTCCTTTCTCTTTGGCAGACCCCTCCGTGCCTCTGGATCCAATCTCAGTGTCTAACTCATCATCCCAGATTATTCTGAAGTGGAAACCGCCCTCCGACCCCAACGGCAACATCACCCACTACCTGGTCTTCTGGGAGAGGCAGGCAGAAGACAGTGAGCTGTTCGAGCTGGATTATTGCCTCAAAGGTGAGTGCGGGCAGCTGTGCTGGGATGGGTGGGGTTTGCCCACACGTAACTGATGCACTTTGCCTCACCTCTAGCGAAGCAGCCATCCCTTCCCGTGTCTCAGTGTCGGGAGCCACACACACACACGCTCCGTTCGATCTCATACGAAAACATACATACATGTTTTTATCTATTTATTTATTTACTTTTTTGAGATGGAGTTTCACTCTTGTTGCCCAGGCTGGAGTGCAATGGCGCGATCTTGGCTCATCGCAACCTCCACCTCCCGGGTTCAAGCGATTCTCCTGCTTCAGCCTCCCGAGTAGCTGGGATTTCAGGCACGCGCCACCACGCCCGGCTAATTTTGTATTTTTAGTAGAGACGGGGTTTTCTCCATGTTGGTCAGGCGGCTGGTCTCAAACTCCCGACCTCAGGTGACCT